TGGCCAGGACAGCCCCCAGGGCAAAGACCACAATACTCAGGGCAGCAAAGATTCCAGCTCCCACATCTGCCCCGTGGAAACTGCAGCTGAAACCACTGTAGCCTTTGCTTTGGTACAGCGCCTGCCTCTCTTCACACACAGGAGAGGCGTAGGCAGCAGAGAGGTAGTGGAAGTAGAAGTACAAGGCCGGGATGTACCCCCCTGAGATAAGCACGTCCAATAAGCCTTCAGTCACCAGCAACAGCGGACAGTGCCACGGGACTCGCAGGACACCCATAGCAATGAAGAGGCAGCAGAGGGCCATGAGGGATCCACTGCAGGCCATTGCCGCAGTGACCGTGGGCAGCTTTAGCTGGTAGAACTGGACATCCAGCTGCTGGGCTTTCTCCCCGTCAGCACCATCAAAGCCACTGTAAGCCCCTCCGAACTGGTAGTAGTAAATGCCCCCTAAGCTGGTGATGCCCGTGTAGCCCCCTGTGGAACTGTAAGACACAGAGCTGCAGGCCAGGATCAGCAAGTTCAGGAGAACCTCCAGCATTTGGCAGCAGGCTGCAAAAAAAGGGTGTTACCATTTTTGAGTGATGCTGTTTGGCACCAGGAGGCTCTTCCACCTGAGGCCCACCTTCCGCACAGGGCTGAGACCCCTGTAGGCTTCTGTCCCTGAGGAAGGCCCGAGGCCAAAGCAGCACGATTAAAACTAGAGGGTAGCAGGGAACTGTGGTCTCCAGAAATGGTGCCAGAAATACTATGGACTCAGAGGGGTGACTCTCAAAAGAGCAAAGCAGCCTGCCCTGAGAGAGGGACAGGAGGATGGTGGGAGAGATCAGGCCAGTGAGCAGAAACAAAGCCATCCTGGATGGAAGGGCAAGAACATGCCACCTCCCACCACCAGAAAGATGAAACGAGGCCGGGCGTGGTGGCTCACGCCTATAATCCCAGCACATTGGGAAGCCAAGGTGGGAGGATTGCTTGAGCCCAGGAGTTTGAGACCAACCTGGGCAACATAGTGATACCCCATCTCTTATTAAAAAAAAAGACTGGGTGCGGTGGCTCACGCCTATAATCCCAGCACTTTGGGAGGCCAAGGCAGGTGGATCATTTGAGGTCAGGAGTTTGAGACCAGCCTGGCCAACATGGTGACACCCCATCTTTACTAAAAAATACAAACATTAGCCAGGCGTGGTGGTAAGCACCTGTAGTCCCAGCTACTTGGGAGGCTGAGGTAGGAGAATCGCCTGAACCTGGGAGGTGAAGGTTATAGTGAGCTGAGATCGTGCCACTGCACACTAGCCTGGGCGACACTCTGTCTCAAAAAACAAAAACAAACAACACAAAAACTAAACAAGTTATCTCTTTTTTTTTGAGACAAGGTCTCACTCTGTCACCTAGGCTGGAGTACAGTGGCACGATCACGGCTCACTACAGCCTTGACCTCCTAGACTCAAGCAATCGTCCTGCCTCAGCCTCCCACATAGCTAGGACTATAAGTGCATGCTGCTGGGCCTGATTTTTGTATTTTTTCGTGGCATAGGTCTTGGTGTGTTGCCTAGGCTGGTCTTGAATTCCTGGCTTCAGGCGATCCTCCTGCCTTGGCCTCCCAAAGTACTGGGATTACAGGTGTGAGCCACTGCGCTGGTCATTATCTCCTCTTTATATATGTTTGTGGTGAATACAGTTTGTAAGGGGAAAGTTCTCCAAGTCTGAAGAAAATCACAGAGCTTAAAAAATATAATAATTCAGAAAAAAAGCATGGAAGTTATATATCAAAATGTTAACTGTGGTTCATGTATTAGAAATAAGAAAAATTGGCCAGGCGCGATGGCTCACGCCTGTAATCCCAACACTTTGGGAGGCAGAGGCAGGCAGATCACCTGAGGTCAGGAGTTCGAGACCAGCCTGGCCAACATGGTGAAACCGTGTCTCTACCAAAAATACAAAAATTAGCCAGGTATGGTGGTGCATGCCTGTAATCTCAGCTACTCAGGAGGCTGAGGCGGAAGAATCTCTTGAACCCAGGAGGCGGAGGTTGCAGTGAGCTGAGATTACACCACTGTATTCCAGCCTGGGTGACAGAGTGAGACTCTGTCTCAAAAAAAAAGAAACTGAAAAAATTAAGTTAATTAAACCCTTAGTGCTTACTGAATTAAAAAAAATTTTTGTTTTACTGTTCTTGGACTTTAACTCATAAGTATGTCTTAAAGTTTAATGCTGTTTTGTTTAGTTCCCTAAAGAGTGTATCTGGGCTGTGATATTTTCCCAGAGCTGGATTTTTCCCGGGCCCTTGGCTTCTTTATCTTGGAAAATGAAAACTGGCTGCTTTCCTTAAAATCAACCTTAGTGAAATATAACTTATATGCAACAAAGCGATCTACATTGAGCATGTAGCTTGATGAGTTTTGACAAATGTATGTACTACGTAACCATAATCAAGACACAGAACATTCTCATTAGCCCAGAAATTTCTCTAGTGATGCTTTGTAGTCAATCCCTCACTTTCCTTGTCAGCATACCACTGATCTGCCGTCTCTCGTTAGAATCTAGTTCTGCCTTTTCTAGAATATCATATACATGGAATCATACAGTTATGTGCTTTTGTGTGTGTGGCTTCTTTTGCTCAACAACATATAAGCTGGGTGCTTCTGAGCTGGAAATTGTACATGCTGCCAACGCCGGCCTGTCAACATCCCCCTGATGTTTGATAACCAGATTTTATGCCTGGTTCCAGTTGGTCTATTCATGAAACCAAGCTACACATTGTCTCATTGAAATGATGATGCTCTCTCAAGTGTGATCTTTATACTGTATAATTTTCCGCCAGAATGCAAACAACATTATTGTTTTCTTTTTTTACACTCTGTCATCATTTTATTTATGAAAGTTATACAGCCAGGCGCGGTGGCTCATGCCTGTAATCCTAACAGTTTGGGAGGCCGAGGTGGGTGGATCACGAGGTCAGGAGTTCAAGACCGGCCTGGCCAACATGGTGAAACCCCATCTCTACTAAAAATACAACATTTAGCTGGGCATGGTGGCACGTGCTACCTCCTAGCTACTTGGGAGGCTGAGGCAGGAGAATTGCTTGAACCAGGACCTGGAAGGCAGAGGTTGCAGTGAGCCGAGTTCATGCCACTGTACTCCAACCTGGGCTACAGAGCTATACACTGTCTCAAAAAAAAAAAAAA